AGGGTTTAGGGTTTAGGGTATTGTTGGTATTAATACTGTTGTCAGCACTATAATTAGTTTTATGATTAGATCGTTGATCCATGGACCCGAGGCTGTACCTGTTTCAATCAAAATTACCTACAGCTTAGTGAGAGGTAGCAATGACAATTGTTCCTGGTACATACCTAGCAGGTTCTTCTTCCGTCAAGCGCAGAACAGGCTTGTAGGAATGGCCATGCGGGCTGTGCGACTGTGAGGTATAGGAGATACAATACAAGATATGGAGCAGGGTTTACATTTCTGTTACTGGTGAGTGTATACAAGGCTCCTGTTTAATATTGGTGAGTGTAAATATTGGGTGTCCTTTTGGGGGTACAAGAAATATAAACCCTACTTCATGTGAAACGGTTGGCGCGTAGAGTCCCAGGAAGACACAAACCCAAAATCCCATGCTCTGGAGCCTGACGGAACCCCCCCCCAAAAAAAAAACTTCTTCATAAGGGTAATATAGAGACTATTATCTTTAAGAACACACAAAAAACAACAACAAACATGAAAAACATTCTTCCTTATCAGGGTAAAAAAGGGATTCTTGTCTTTTTCGGGGGTTCTGAAGCAAAGAAGTGGCTGATTCTTAGTAGGGAACGAGGGAATGAGATGCCCTATGGCCCTATAGAATCCCTCAAAGGGTATGTATCGTGCCCTCATTCCCTCCTTCCCTACTAAGAACCAGGGGGATAATAGACTGTCGGTATCTACTACATTGACATAAGTGCCCTGTGACCAAAGGAGTCTTTGGAGATTTGTGGTTCATGAGGGTTTCGGGTTTAGGGCTTCGGGCTTAGGCTTAGGGTTCAGGGTCTCGTGTTTAGCGTTTAAAGGTTCGAGTTTAGGCTTGGGGTTTTCGGGTTTAGGGTTTCGGGTTTGGGGCTTAGGGTTTCGGCGCAGGGGCAGTCTGTGAACGCGTTGCTGGAGCCGCCGTTCTTTGCCAGGAACGACTCCATCTCATCTTCACCTCTGGGTTTCCTTAAGTTGAGGGGTTTAGGGTGTTAGGGTGAGTTTACCTTTTTCCTATAGACTATCATGTGCTCAAGACCCTTCAAAGAAGAGAAGGCTTACCTCTTTTTGTCAGGGGCTTTTCAGAAAAAGGTATTCTTCTTGTAAGCAGTTGTCTTCCCGTCTGCCAACCATTGACTGGCGGTTTCCCAGGAACTTAGGAATGAACAGGGAACCCGTTGCGTTAGTACTGCGGTGTAATTCATCCCCTTCCCCCAATATAACATACCGCCCCTTACTATAACATAACTATACTTGGGAGTATTGAATACTTTACTATAACATAACTATACTTGGGAGTCTTTAATATTAGGGGTAGGCGGGAGAGGGGGTTAATATTTGGGGGAAGGCTTAGGCCGCAGGGCTCGTATGCGGCAAGCCCAAGCTTTGAGGCTTTAGGGTTGCCCAGGAACCTAGGATTTAAAAGGGCGCCCTTTTTGCTTAAAGGGGTTGATAGGGGAACCTAGAGCCCCCAAAAAGGGAATAAGGGCACTACTGGGCATCCTAGCCGAATGAAATCCCAAGTCGTCCCCAATCCTGTCGAAGTGTTCGCGTTTAGGGTTTGGGGTTTAGGGTTTAGGGTTTGGGCTTCTGTTACAAGAAGCGGGCCTGGATACTTCGCACTTCCCATGAAGAGCATGTGCTCGAGGTAATGGGCCTCAGAGAGAGCGCGCAGGCGCTTACTTGGCGTGGTTTTAGGGCTTTAGGGCGTAGGGCTTTGGGGCTTGGGGTTTAGGGATGTTTCCTAAACCCTAAACCCTAAACCCTAAACCCTAAAACCTAAACCCTAAACCCTAAACCCTAAACCCTAAACCCTAAACCCTAAACCCTAAACCCTGAACCCCAAACCCTAAACCCTAAACCCTAAACCCTAAACCCTAAACCCTAAACCCTACCTAAACCCTTAAAGTTTGGGAGCCCTGCACGGCACCACGACCCGGACATCTACAACAGCTTGGAGCGAACAAAAGATTGGACCCCGTGAGGCCTCAAAAGCTTCCCGACCCAGAGCTCTCGAACCAAGAGTAACCTAGGAGTTATCCTTTTTGGATTAATTTAGAGGGCTGATAAGGGAACCTAAACGCAACAAAAAGGAGTATTGAGTTTAGATCTAAACCCTAAAAGGACTAGGTAAGGGTGGCTTTGCCGCCTTAGACGGCGTGGGGTGGGAGAGAATGTTAGAGCGGCCCTCCAACATCGGGCCGTGACCGCCCTGCGCATTTCGCGAGGCCTGCGAGGTTCTGCTGAAAACCGTAACATTTCAGCTTCTACGAAATAGTACGGCGAAACCCTAAACCCTAAACCCTAAACCCTAAACCCTAAACCCTAAACCCTAAACCCTAAACCACCCAAACAGCCAAGCTGCCAAGCCCTGGCAGTTGCCGGGATCGCTGAAGGAGCCGGCGGCCACGGCCACCGCGGCCGCGGCCCGGCCCTTCTTGGCATCGTCGCAGGAGACCTGCAAGGAGCCGGGGCTAGCCCTAAACCCTAAACCCTAAACCCTAAACCCTAAACCCTAAACCCGACACCCTAAACCCTAAACCCTAACCCGAAGTCCCCAAATCCACCAAAAGACTACTAACACCCCGCTGCCTCGCGACCCAGCACTGAAGCCCCCCCACTCCCCCGCCCCCACTCGGGCTTCGGTGCATGGGTAGGGTTTAGGGTTTAGGGTTTAGGGTTTAGGGTTTAGGGTTTAGGGTTTAGGGTTTAGGGTTTAGGGTTTAGGGTTTAGGGTTTAGGGTTTAGGGTTTAGGGTTTAGGGTTTAGGGTTTAGGGTTTAGGGTTTAGGGTTAGGTTTAGGGTTTAGGGTTTAGGGTTTAGGGTTTAGGGTTTAGGGTTTAGGGTTTAGGGTTTAGGGTTTAGGGTTTAGGGTTTAGGGTTTAGGGTTTAGGGTTTAGGGTTTAGGGTTTAGGGTTTAGGGTTTAGGGTTTGGGGTTTGGGGTTTGGGGTTTGGGGTTTGGGGTTTGGGGTTTGGGGTTTGGGGTTTGGGGTTTGGGGTTTGGGGTTTGGGGTTTGGGGTTTGGGGTTTGGGGTTTGGGGTTTGGGGTTTGGGGTTTGGGGTTTGGGGTTTGGGGTTTGGGGTTTGGGGTTTGGGGTTTGGGGTTTGGGGTTTCACCTTCTGGAGCCGAAAGCAACTGGCAACTGGGGCCCAGGCCAGCAGGGCTTCGAAGCCATTCGGAAAGAGCAACCTTGCTAAGCCCGACGCCCTAAACCCTAAACCCTAAACCCTAAAGCCTCAACCCTCAACCCTAGACTCTAAACCCTAAACCCTAAACCCTAAACCCTAAACCCTGAACCCTAAACCCTAAACCCTAAACCCTAAACCCTAAACCCTAAACCCTAAACCCTAAACCCTAAACCCTAAACCCTAAACCCTAAACCCTAAACCCTAAACCCTACCCCTAAACCCCAAACCCTATCAACCCTGAAGCCTTAGACCTTGTGGAGCCTTCAAGAAGAAGCCGCTGCCTGCAACGAATGTCGCCCGAGGAGCAGGCGGTAGGAAAGCTTGTCCTTGGTAACTTGTGGTTCAGGCGTTTAGGGTTTAGGGTTTAGGGTTTAGGGTTTAGGGTTTATGTCCCTAACCCTAAACCCTTAACCCCCCAAACCCCGAAGCCCTAAAACCTAAGGGACCATACTAGCAGAACCCTTGAAAGAAAGTAAATTGAGTGGCCATATACCTACCCTAACCCTAAATCCTAAACCCTAAACCCTTAGAGTGGACATCCCCCTAAGCCTGAACCCTAAACCCTAAGGGACCACACAAGCAGAACCCTTGAAAGAAGGTAAGGGGCCGGATCCAACCCTAAACCCTAAAGCCTAAACCCTAAACCCTAAACCCTGAGAGTGGAAATCCCCAGATGCCAAGGCGAGCTTCGTTCGGCGACTTCTCGGGCGCCAGAGATTGGACGTCGCCCCGAGCACGCTTCGCCGGCCGCATGTCCGATTATCTTGCTAGGGGTTTAGGGTTTAGGGTTTAGGGTTTAGGGTTTAGGGTTTAGGGTTTAGGGTTTAGGGTTTAGGGTTTAGGGTTTAGGGTTTAGGGCTCGCTCAGGGTTGGGGGGCTTAGTTAGGGCTGAGGGCTGAGAGATGATCGTGTTGGGCGCAGCAAGCTGCAGCTGGCAGGAGTTCTTTGGAAAACTCCCACATCTGCGGGTATCCTCATCTGCAAGTGGGGGTTCCGAGAACAGGGGTGCCCTCTTTGGGGAGTTCCTATAATAAGGAATATAGTATTTTGGGGTATATTAGGGGTTCCCCTGGGTTCCTATAATAAGGATTATAGTATTTTTGGGGAAAAAAGGGGTTCCCCTGGGTTCCTATAATAAGGATTGTAGTATTTTGGGGTATATTAGGGGTTCCCCTATTCTAGGAGATGCCCAAGTTGCTGCAAGTGGCTTGAGGCTGCGGTGACAGCGCGAGCTGCGCATCACGCCACTAAAGCATGTTCAAGCTGCGCTACTATTTCCCTAAACCCTAAACCCTAAACCCTAAACCCTAAACCCTAAACCCTAAACCCTGCATCTCAAGTCAGAGCAGCAAAAAACTCAGGTTCAAGGATGGCCTGCCAGGATGGCCCTAAAAACCCTCCGAAAGATAATCCTATATGACCCTCTTGAACCCAATTATTGGGTTCAAGAGAAACCCAAAAACCCTAACACCCTAAAACCCAAAAACCCAAAAACCCTAACACCCAAAAACCCAAAAACCCAAAAACCCAAAAACCCAAAAACCCTAAAACCCTAAAACCCTAAACCCTAAAATACAACATGACCCCAAGGGGCTACCGAGACTGTTGCTTGATGGATTGCAGCCTTTCGCTTCGTCAAGAAACCTGCACTAGCTTTGACCCGAAATGCTTTGGGTCTTCGAGCTAAGGGCTAAGGGCATGAAATCTTTGGTTTAGGAACCCTAAACCCTAAACCCTAAACCCGAAGCCCTGTAGAGTCTCAGATCGGAAAGGCCTCGATCAGCAGGACGCGGGACCGATGCTGCTGACCACCACCGCAAGGCAAAGAGCAATCCTGCGAGTAGGGTTTAGGGTTTAGGGTTGAGGGTTTGGGGTTTGGGGATTAATTAGGGTTTAGGGTTTAGGGTTTAGGGTTTAAGGTTTAAGGTTTGGGATTTAGATGCCATCGTCCTCGTCCTAGTCATCGTCATAGTAATAGAAATGGTACAATAGTGATAGCATGAGCAATTGTGAAGGCAATGGCAGTAGTCATAATCATCGGTAGGCCTCGGGAAAGAGGACGCGCTCCTACTTCTGAGGGCAGCGCCAGCTGAAGAACACCTTAATTCAGTTGCAGGTGTTCATATAGTTAGGAATGAGCAACAGCATTCGTAGTGGTACTGGTAGTAGAAACATACAACAAAGAGCAACAATGTTGACCCAGTCCTGCCAGTCATTCCACTTGCTGAACTCACAATCGCGGATGATCGCAGGACAGGCCTCTGGACAGGTTCTAGGAGTCTGCGGCCTTCCAAAACGAGGTTGAACTTAAACGAAGAACTTAAGTAAATTTCCGTAATATATAATTCAAATACTATTAATATTTATTTTAATTTACCTACATTTATACTACGGTTTCTTGTTCTTGTAGTTTCGCTTCGAGAAAAGGAGCCGATAAGCCCTGAAAGCCCCAAATCCAAAACCCTGAAAGCCCCAAATCCAAAACCCTCCAAACCCTAAGCCTAAGCTCCAAACCCTGAAGCCCTAAAGTCCTGCAACCCCAAGACACCCCGACACCCCTAAAGCCTAAACCCTAAATTTTGCAAGCCCCAAAGTGCTACAACCCTCCCCACAAAAGCCCTAAAGCCGTGAAAAGAACCACCTCTAAACCTTCAAGGCTCAAGGAACATAAGAGGGAGTCTTCTCTTTGCTTACGCACGAGGAAAAAGGGCCTAGCCTGCTATTTGATTAAGAAACTGCCAGGGCCAAAACATACAAAACATTCTTCCTCATAAGGGTCATATAGGGACTATTATCTTTTCGTATTACTTAGGGCTATAGGGTTTAGTGGGGTACACTGGGGAACCTAGCTTATTGGGCGCGGGGACCTTCCGGCACAAAACTAGAAGGCAGCCTCGGTATTGCAGGCCACGATGGCCATGGTGACGTTGCGCTCACATGGCTTCCCTGGCAGTGAACGTCAGGGCGAGGGAAAAGCTCGAAGTGCTGATTCTGATTACTGTTCCTGTTCGTATTCGTATTCTTTGTACTATTTCTGGTACTCTTACTCTCTGGCTACCACTACGAATATTGCGAACACTATTGCTATTGACTATATAGAACTTGCGATTTCTACTCCTATTCCTCCTACGATCGCTACGACAACTGCTATTGCCATTCACTACTGACTTCCTAACATCTACGATGTATTACGATCGCTAGCACAGCTGCTCATTGCCGGGACTGACAAGTTCTCCAGCGTTCTGCTGCAAGGCTTCGTCTAAAGCCCTGGCGGCCCTAGTTCCGAACCTTGCCTTCTTGGGCATCGTGGCCACGGAGGCGCGTCTTGCACCGAAGTAAGAGAACCAACACACACACACACACACACAGGTTCGCAACCTCTTTCGAGGAAGTCGCAGAGGTCGTCGGTAAGGGAATTCAGGGTATCCCACATAACCCCCAAACCCACAAGCCCAAGCCCCCAAACCCTAAACCTTAAACCCTTAACCCTAAACCCCAAACACCAAAACCGCGAGCCGTGCCTCCGTACCGTGGCAGCCGAACCACTTCGCGGCTGCGGCTGGCCATGCCACCCCCGCAGGTGGCGGTGCAAGCTGAGAGCCTGGCACCCGTTGAGCGCTTGCAGTTTTTTTGGGTTTGGGGTGTGGGGTTTAGGGTCTAGGGTTTAGGGTTAAGGGTTTAGGGTTTAGGGTTTAGGGTTTCAGGTTTGAGGGTTTAGGGTTTCGGGTTTAGGGTTTGCTGCACTATGGCGCAGATGCCGTGAAGGTTGGGATGCAGAAGAGGCTCGAGGCGTCGGGTGCGAAGAGCAGTTCTGGCCCGATTGTGGAGGGCCAGCGAAAACCTTTCGCCGTCCAAGGCGGCAAAGCCACCCTAACCTACTCCTTTTAGGGCTTCGGGCCCCTAAACCCTAAACCCTAAACCCGCACAAGCGTCCGAATGAGGGCCTCATCTTAAGTAAGGGTTTAGGGTTTAGGGTTTACAGTTCAGGGTTTAGGGTTTCGGGTTCCGGGTTTAGGCTTTGAGACCTATCGTATTAATTCAGGACCAAAAACCTGAAGGTTTGGAGGGTTCCCTGGTTCGACTGTAGGGCTTCTAGCATTCGAGCATTCTGAGGTTTAGGGTTGAGGGTTTAGGTTTTAGGGTTTCGGGCTTTCAAGACCTTGAACCCAAGCGTCTTAGAGAGCCGCAGTGTGGGGTTCGATGCTGGGAGAGGGGGGGGGGGTTGAGGCTCTTATTGGGCTTGAGGGCTGTATGGTCATGTGTGTAGAACATGCAGGGTGCTTATACCCTGTTGTAAGGGGTTCCTGCAACGACTGTCATTTTGCGGGCTTTGGGCACTGTGTAAGGGGCCCTAAACCCTAAACCCTAAACCCTAAACCCTAAACCCTAAACCCTAGACCCTAAACCTCTATTTTGGGAAATGCTGTCAAGGCATCATGTCAGCTACAACTCACGGCGGGGGCGCTGGCTCCAGCTGCCCCACTTGCAGTCCTCCATGACCGGGCACGGGTTCAGCGCACAAGGCCTCGCAGGTTTAGGGTTTAGGGTTTAGGGTTTAGGGTTTAGGGTTTAGGGTTTAGGGTTTAGGGTTTAGGGTTTAGGGTTTAGGGTTTAGGGTTTACGGTGTGGGGTTTAGGGTTTAGGGTTTGGGGTTTAAAGCCTCCTAAATGGAGGACCCGAGTAAATGATGGGTCTGGAGATAGTCATAGGTTGTGAGAGTGCTTGCACCCTCTGATGTCTTCAACCTCATGACGAGGTTTGCCAGGTCAAAACCGCAATTCTCCAAGGTCTGGGAAAGGTCGCTCCCGTGCGGTAAAGCGAGTCCGAGGTTCCAGGGGTTCTACCTTGGACCCTTAAGGTGAGAACCCTGTTTAAGGATCCCTAAGGGAATTTAACGGCCATACTAGGAGTTCATTAATTAAGGGAAGGGGACCTTTAGGGGCACAACCTAAGGGGTACGAGTCTTACCCCAAACCCTAAATCGTGAACCCTAAACCCTAAACCCTAAATCCCTTGACGGGTAGAGCCTAAGCCCCTCGACCCTCAGCCGTGTCGAAGAAGCCTAGAAAGCTGTGAAGTGCCCATTGAGCTCCAACAGTCCTCAGACAAGCCCTAAACCCTAAACCCTTAAACCCTTAAACCCTTAAACCCTTAAACCCTTAAACCCTTAAACCCTTAAACCCTTAAACCCTTAAACCCTTAAACCCTTAAACCCTTAAACCCTTAAACCCTTAAACCCTTAAACCCTAAACCCTAAACACCCCAGCCGTCAGGAAAGAGCTGCTGCACCAAACGCAGAAGCCTAGATGCGCCTCGCGGCGCCCCAAAACCCTGAACCTGAAACAGCAGTTGAGCTCTTACGATCTGCACCTCCTGCAATTGCAGGAGGTGTAGATCGTAAGAGCTCAACTGCTGTTGAAACAGCTTCCCAGAAAATCTCACTCCTCAACCCTAAACCCTAAACCCTAAACCCTAAACCCTAAACCCTAGACCCTAAACCCTAAACCGAAAACCCTAAGACCCCCTAAAACCCTAAGAAAGTGTCCCGGGCCCCTCGCTGCAGTTCCTCCGGGCCACCGTCGCACTCCTGGCCACCGCCCTGGGCGTTGCAAAGACGTGTGGAACTGAGGTGGAGCTTGGGGGCTGAAGGGTGTAGGGTTTAGGGTTTAGGGTTTAGGGTTTAGGGTTTAGGGTTTAGGGTTTAGGGTTTAGGCTTAGGGCTTAGGGTTTAGGGTTTATTTGTGTGGCTTGTAGGCTCAGGGTTTAGGAGGCATCAGGCCCTCATCAGGGCTTGCGCAGGGTGGATATACTGGTGCTAGGCGCCCTTCTGCCCATTTCTGAATCTACGGAAGAACAGCCAAAACCTGCTGCCAAGCCGCAGAAAAATCCTAAACTCTGCCGAGATCGTGAAACGGGTGGGGAGGGGACGTATTCTGAAATTATAGGGAGCTGCCTAAACCCGCAGCTTGCCTGCACTTAGCAGGGTAGCTTATTGAGAAACCCAATAACCCCAAAAAGGCTAAGGATCTAAAGTTACAGTAAAGCACCACAGAGGGCAAACCCCTGAAAGCCCTACAAACCCCTTCGGAAACCCAGGTAGCACCTTGGAAGCCCCAAACCATAAACAGGAGACTCGAAAGCGCCAGTATTCCTTACGGACTCGGACCTGAATTCGTAGCTTGATCCTAGGGTTTAGGGTTTAGGGTTCAGGGTTTAGGGTTTAGGGTTTAGGGTTTAGGGTTTAGGGGTTGTACGTTTCGGGTTTAGGTTTACATCAATTCCCTTTAGCCTAGCGTGCCAAAACGGCCCACACTTCTCAAGCATCGCAATGATAACTCAAGGCAGTTCTTGAATTGGGGATGCTGCCCCGGGCCAAAAACCTAATCAGTCCTAACCAACCTTCAAAAACTACGTGAACTTAACAAATCCATAAGCCTTATAAATCCCGTAAGCCCCTGAAAGCCTGAAAACATGTCAAACACTAGAAGCCCTTATCGTTAAACCCAAACCCCAAACCCTATGAACACTAAGCAGTAGTATACCCTATAGCCCCCATGACCAACATACACATACATCAGCCCCAGAATAAACAATGCAAACATGTATAAACACCTACCGGGGTTCGGGTTGAGGATCTTCGGGGAACCTGTTGGGTGGCATGTCGAATTTGGGTGTCCCGGCCCGCGCGAACTTCATGACCACGCGGTAGCGCACCCGTGCACGATCCTTGCCAGGGAGATGTTTGAACATGAAAGTAGCCCCAAGAATTGAGAAGGAGGTTTTTTGTCAAAGGGGTCAGGGCTTGGGGCTTGTAGGGCTTGTAGGGCTTGTAGGGCTTAGGCTTTTGTTTTTCATCGTCCTGCGCGGGGCTGTCTAGGGGTGCTGGGGCGCCTGGTCTTTCAGGGTTTAGTTTAGGGCTTAGGGTTTAGGGTTTGGGGTTTGGGGATGCGACATTCTATCCATAAATCTGAGGAAAGTGTCTCTGGGTTGTGCCCTCGACCCCATGAGGAAATTTCATCTCTTTGAGCTGGAACCCTGTCCTGCGAAGGATGCCAGAAAACTATGAAGGGAGTCTTCAGGCAGGTGGCACAAACTATATCTGCGAGTGCTTTGGCCTGCTCGGCGCTGAGGAAGTGGGAGGGAATTGTAGCTAATTCCCAGACTGTGGGAATGTTTGGGGCTCTAGAGCAGTGCGTCGCCTCAACACCGACTACGCTATGGAGGAATTTGTGGCACCAAGCGCCTATCCGATTAAGGTTCGTTTGTGTGAGTGCGAGGGCCAGGCCATAACGCAGGGTGGGAACACATGTAGTTCTAAACCCTAAACCCTAAACCCTAAACCCTGAAGATACATAATCTCTGACGTTCCTGAAGCAGCTTAGGCGTTGGGGCTAGGCTTGGCGCTTTGGATTTACCTTAAACCCTAAACCCTAAACCCCGAACCCTACACCCTAAACCCCAAAACCCAAAACCCTTTGGGGGCAGTTGGGATGTGCCCTACGACAGCAGTCCTGAATCAGCAAGGAGCCTACCAGGAGACTGAAAAAGCCTATGCTCTAGACCCGACCTCGAAGGACTACACTACTGCTGCCCTAAACCCTAAACCCTAAACCCTAAACCCTAAATCCTAAACCCTAAAACCCTAAACCCTAAACTTTACCTTAAACCCTAAACCCTAAACCCTAAACCCTAAACCCTAAACTTTACCTTAAACCCTAAACCCTAAACCCGGAACCCCCAAACTCGGCTTTAGAAGGGCTCGAAGCTTCCCCGCTCCTTTGAGTAGCCACCGCCGCAGGTGACAGGGCAGGCGGACCTGGATCAGACGACGCTTGGGCTTTAGAGCTCAGGGTTCAGGTGGGTTGGGTTTGGGGTTTGGGGTTGGGGTTTTAGGGTTTGGGGTTTAGGATTTGGGGTTTA